TAATCATACCAAGATCCATTATCTTTTGGCTTTCTGTTTGACATGGATGATCTGCCAAAAAGTTAGCCAAAACTTGTCATTTTACAGCCTTTTGGGGGATATATTCTAGATGAAATTCTAACAAGACTAATATCTATTTGCCAATTCTTCCTCTAAACATTGGTCTAGATAACATATACTTAACCAAGTCTGTGGCCGCAATTACTGAGACAATATTAGGCAAAAGATAATATCTTAATTTCATTGCTGCAAAGTATAATGTAAGGTACAGCTTTTCTACAGCTGAGTATTTACATTCATAAGAATTTAAAAACCTACTAAGGTAATAAACTGCTTGCTCCTTGCCTTCTTCATTGTCCTGGGCTAGGAAAGCTCCCAATGAATCCTTTGCTGCAGCAATGTATAACTTTAAAGGCTTGTCACTCTTTGGCGGCATCAGCACTGGAGGCTTGGCCAAGTAGGCTTTAATTCCTTTGAAAGCAGTTTGATGCTCTGCTGTCCACACAAACTCCTCTTCATCTTTCAACTTCAATAAAGAAGAAAATACTTTAGTTTTCCCTACAGTGTTAGAAATAAATCTTCGAAGAAAATTAACCTGACCAAGAAACTTTTGTACCTCTTTCTTACTTGATGGAGGCTTGGCCTCAATGATGGCTTTGGTTTTATTTTGATCAATCTATATTCCCTTCTTGTGTACCACATGGCCCAAGAAGTTTTCAACTGATACACCAAAAGCACATTTGAGAGAATTAAGCTTCAATTTGAACTTTCTCATTCTTTCGAAAGCTGCCTCCAAGTGAACCAAGTGTTCCTTCATGGACTGGGATTTTACTACAATATCATCAATGTAACACTCTAAATATCCTCCAATGAGATCATGAAAGATAGTGTTCATTGCCCTTTGATATGTGGCCCCAGCATTTTTCAGACCAAATGGCATTTTAACCCATTCGAAGGTGCCAAGGTTCCCAGGACATCTGAATGCTGTCTTATGGACATCCTCCTCTACAATGCATATTTGGTTGTAACCAGAGTGCCCATCCATCATTGACAAAATTTGATGCCCTCCTGAATTGTCTACCAACAAATCTACTATAGGCATAGGATACTCATCTTTTGGAGTTGCTTAGGGTTGCTAAGTCAAGTTTCAAAAATTGATGCATACCCTCATTTTACCATTCTTTTTAACCACAGGCACAATATTGGACAGCCATTCAACATATCTTGTTGTTCTAATAAAGCCTGCCTTAAGGAGCCTAAGAATTTCCTTCTTGACCTTCCGAACCACTTCAAGACTCATCCTTCTTGGCTTCTACTTGTATAGCTTAAAATTAGATTTCAAAGGGAGCCTATGTTCTACTAATGATCTGTCCAATCCAGGCAGTTCATTGTAAGACCAAGCAAAGCAATCCTTATATTGTTTTAAGACAACCAATAATTAGCTTCTATCACAAGGACTTAACCAAGCACTGATATAAATGGGTTGCTGTGCAGAACCTTTCCCTAAATTAACTTGTTCCAAGGGGTCTTGTTATTGAGCACTCACTAATGCTTCTCGTTTGATTTCTTCTAACCTCGAAGAAACTTATTTGCTTTGTTTTGCGCCCACTTTCTCTGGTTCAACATCTTTGCCTTCTTCCTCATAGACAAAATCTGTCCATAAGGCTTCTTCCTCCTGTATTTCCTGGACTTTTGTTTCAATGTCCAATGCACAGTATTCATCAAAGGTCAAAGACCTGACCTGTTGTTGCTCCTGCTTACAGCCAACTACCATGGTTTCTTTCTCTTGTTCTTGAACCTTCTGGACTATCGATTTTATGTCCAATATCAAAAACTTAACCAAAGCCAAGGGTCTGGCTTCTTGGGTTTCACCTTCTTGCCTACAACTAAGCATCATTATCATCTTTGATGACAAATTCTTCATCAGCACTCTCCTACACTAAGTGCTTCAGATGTGCTACTTCCTCATCAACCGTCACTTCGGCTAAACCATTAGGTTTTCTTAATATACTGAGTGGTGTCACTCCTTCAATATACAACTTGGCATCTGCACAGTCAGCGCAAGTGATAAAGAGTTGAGGGTCTACATTGATCTCCTTTGTCTCTCCATTTCATAAGGCCATCATTATCTTCTAATGTAGAGAGGAAGACACATATTTGGTGGTGTGTATCCAATCCCTACAAAGTAAAGCATTATACTTGGCATTACTATCTATAACAAAGAATGTCGTCATGCAATCTCTAGTTCCCACACTTAGGTTGATGGGCAAGATACCCTGAGCCATCTGTTTATCCCTAGCGAAGCCAGCAATGGTTGTGCTGGTTTGGATTAATCTAGGGTTTTTTTTTCCCAGTTTCTTCAAAGAAAACTTCAAAAGCAGGTTCACTGCTACCCCATTATCCACCAATACCCTGATCATTTGTATCCTATTGAAAAAAGCCTTGATATACAAGGGCTTGACATGTTGTGTCATGGATGTTGTAGGATACTCAAAAGGATATGAGAAATTAATACTCACTTCTTCACTTTTATCTTCAGTTTCCATTAGTGTGGCCACTTCAGACTCATCTTGAACCATACTAATCTGTGAATCTTCACTAGAAACTGGAATAGGGTCAATCTCCTAACCTTCTTGGTTTCCAGCTTCAGCCTGGAACTCTTGTGGCAATATATACACCATATTTACTGACACTAGAGGAAATGAGCCAAACTGAACTGCTGGCTGCACTTGTTTCTTTTCCAGGCTAACTTATTCAGTTATTTCAGAAGCATCTTCCATGCTGCACTCTGGTACTTCAGTACTAGTGACTTCCTTCAAATGGTCTGCTCCTGTTGGTTTTCCGACCAAAAATGTCTGTTCAGCCATGAAGGCTTCAAACATCTCATCCACAGCCATTTCTTTCCTTTGGCCTAGTTCAATTTCTCCTTCTGTCTCACTATCACTTTCCATCAAGGCCTTTTTAAGACCTGCTAAGCTGGATCTTTTACTGGCTTTTAGTTCGCTGTGAACTTTAGCCAACTGCTCTTTGCTAACACTTCTTTTGTTCTGATGAGCCAATTTTGGACTAGAATCTAGTTTTGACTATCTTTTCCCTCTAACTGGCCTTTTGACTGGGCTAATGACGAACTTTCTCCACTTTCCTTCAGATCCTTTTGGTATTGAGTGTACCTTCGCTAGATCTTCCTCCTTTGAGACCTGGAGATTACTAGAACCATATTTAGTTCCTTTGTTTTTCGGTGCTTTAGTAATACCCAATTATTTGGAGCTACCAATGGAGGTTTAATCATTCTACCCTAGTCTCCAAAGACATTTCTCTGGGCAGGCATTTCCTTAGGCTTGTTCTGCATGACAAACTAATCTAGAACCCCAGGTACCCATGAAGTCACTAGTTCAATTGCTGAACTAGCTCTTTCTGCCTTCGAAGCCAGCTTCGAAGCTGTCTGTGGAGGCCACTGCTTGGCCCTGGTCCTCTGTTTTGAACCTAATTCAGGCCTTCTATTAGGGTAGTTACCTTCCATCTTGTTTAAGGCTGATCTTGGAGGCCAATCTTTGGCTCTGATTCCATAACTTGAGCCCACTTCAGGCCTCCTCTCAAGATAATTGCCTTTCATCCTGTAGTAATTAGGTGGTGTGAACTCATATAGAGGTCTCTTATCCTTAGGATGCACTCTAGCGGCTGGTGGTCCAGCCAAGAATGGTTGTTGTCTGGGACCAGACTGGTATGAGCTCTTGTTGTAGGTACTGGTTGGTTTAGGGCATCTTTGCACATCTTTGTAATATTGTTTCCCATCAATTGGGAGTCCTTTTAGCCATTTGTAACTTAACCTGCATCTGGGACACATCCTTTGCAAGACAACTACTTCTAAAGAGTCATTATCCAGTGCCTCTTTACTAGAGTCCTCCTTTTGGTCTATGAAGCTCTGTCCATTTGCTGGTGAACTTCTGGTATCCTTCTTGAAAGCAGTCTAGCTGGCAACATGCATCTGCACATTAACCTCCTCCAATTTCTTCAAGGATAGGTTTTGGAAGTCAGGCACACCAACATTGGCTGTAGCTTCCCCAATCTCTGGGAATGAGTTAGTGTCAATCCCCATAGCTTTCTTTGCTTTGGTTGGGAACTTTAAACTCATCTTTCGAATCTGTTCTTGGATCCTATCCCGAAAACAATACAATTTTTAGTTGAATCACTACAACAAAAAAGGGTTTTTATGGAGCACAATGCAGGTCGTAAAAACTCTTCTACGACGTGCAGCGCGCGTCATATTATGACCAGTCATAAAAAGTCATTCAATTTCAACAACATGCTTCGTACGCCGTTAAAAACTATTTAACGACAGATTTTGTGCGTCGTTGTTACTTTTTCTACGACATGCTATAGTACGCCGTTGAAAACTATTTAACGACAGATTTTGTGCATGGTCGTTACTTTTTCTACGACTACTTTTGCACGCCGTTAATTGGTAAGACAAATAACGATGCTTATTGCCCGTCGTAAAATATGTAATACAACGACTTATTATGCCTGTTGTAGAATATGCATTTTTTTAAAAAAAAAAATTCAACAAGTTCTATTTGACCAATTTTGTACAATCTAACAAATATTACAAGCAAGCATCACAATACATTAATTAACCACCAAAATATTGTCTGAAACATCAAAAAGAAACTATATCCATAAATTATAAGCATTCAACAATTGTCTATACATTCCAAACATTCGAAAACTATATCCTTAAGTTCTAAACTGTACAAAAAGTTTAAACCATCCAAAACTATGCATATCTAACTTTCTAAACATATCGATAACTATTAGAGATTATCTAAAACCACCGACAATAGTTCCTATAACAGTTGCTGCTGCTGCTGTAGCAAATCCACTTGCTCCTATCACAGGGACGAGGGTGCCCAATGTATGTGTTAAGACACCTAAACCCGTGGCAATAGTTGGAGCAACTAACCCTGTTGCATTTCTTGTCTGCATGACAAAGAAAACTTCACATAAACACAAAAACCAACGAATCAGGAACAAAAATATTTTTTGAGGTATTAAGAAATGATCAAAAAATTTTAAAACATCAACAAAACATTTCCAAAATTAATAAAATAATTCAATGGCCCCATAAAAGCAATGTCATATAAGCCAATTACATGTCGAACGTAGCTTTTTCTTAGTTATAAAATAAAGCAAATAAATCCATTTTTCAATACACAATAAACTTTTTCAAAAGAAGAAACTCAATTATGCACCTAATCAACTAAATAAACTAGACGAAACCATTTAATAACAACAACATCAATTAAGGGCATTAGGCTTACAAAGAACTATCAGCAAGTCTTTTAATTTAAAAACAAAAATCTTTTAGTCCAAAAGTACTAACCAACAGCTACAATAGAGTAGATATTTGAAATCAAATAAAAATATTTTACCTGCCTCCATAATAGTTGGTAATTGCTATAGCAGCCACCATATGGGGTTGATAACAAAAACTAGATTACTTAAAAAACATAGGAATGTAGGTAAATAAGAAACAATGAAAATAAAAAATTAACTCCAATGAACTAAAGCAACAAATACAACATAAGGTAGAGCTTAACCTGAGAAGCCCTAAATTCTTTTTGTTTTCTCTTCTTGTAGAAACCCACAATTTCAAATTCTTTGCCACAAAAGAGTAAACAAATGCCCATTTTGGTACAATGTAAAAACAAAGTAATATATATTCTATAGTTCTAAAAGCCTTGGCATTTATATGATAGTCATTTCTTATTACCATGAAGTATATGGTAATTCTCTAGATTAAATAAGATTTGCATTGACTAATAATCTGAACCAAGAGGGTAAAGTTTAAAAAAGCGTGCCACAACAAAATAATATCTAGATTACATAAAAAAAAACTATGCTCACCCACGGTTACTCCTGCTTGCAAGTAAAAAATAGATTACACAATTAATAATCAACCACAGTTGCCGCTGTCTAAACCTTTCATAATTTTGTTATAGCACTCCACAATAAGTATAAAGTTTCTTATTCTAACAGAGGAAAAATATGCAACACACTAATTTTTGGACAAAACCTACAAGTTCAAAATTTTCTGAAAAATCTCATGTAACACAGCTAGCATTGAAGTTGCACACTTTTTCTTCCTAGCTTTGAGCCACTAATGTCATCAAACCCTTTACCAAAACCCCTTACTAGAAATCATTCAAACCCACCCAATTGCAATCCACACATCCCCAATTCAAAGTAGACATACAAACATTTCTGGGGTTGAAAGAGTTCCTATACATAGATTAGATTGGAAATCTTGACTTGTTCGTGGGTGTAACACAGCTATAGAATCAACCCTTTAACTTCAACCATAAAATCAAATAGTATTATAAGGTTTGTACCAAAATAGGGAAAAAAATTAGGGAGCACAACAAAATAAAAAACTCATAGTTCAAAATTCAAGGAAATTTTGTCCACATACCTACCCCGAACTACAATAACATTAATCCAAGTTATCTCTCCAAACTTTTATTTTCTTTTTTATCTACAAAATAGTTGTTAGATTAGCACCTATAGAAGTTAGCCTCCCCATCCTTCGCAAAGAACCAAGTGCTTGCCTCGTTAATTCAACTCCCACTAGGGAGAGTTGAACATGACCTTTCCTAGTGACTGAAAGTTATGGTGGCCAACTATGCTAGCAATCCACCATCAGCATTCCAAGGTAGGTACGTTAGCATCAAGTATTTAGCAATTCATCAAGGTTAAAAACTAGTACTTCATGAAGCATGAACAGAATATACAACAATTTGTTAAATAAGATAAGAAAACTTCTAATCAAGGTTAAAACTTCAGCAGGTATCCTTGCGCATTAGTGGCTAGTGGAATGCAACAATCACACTATTATTGAAATGCCTAAAATAAATCCCATCTAGCATAAAATAAATTAGATGCATAGCTATTTTATAAAATGAATTGACATTGGCAGTAGCTTTGGCAAAGGGGTCCATGAAAAAAACAAAACAAAACAATTTTCCTCCAAATAGATATGTGCCTCGTACAAAATAAAGCTAGTTTGAAAACATTGATCAGTAAAGAGGCTATAGAAAGCCAACCAAATTAATCCCTATTGTAAAAATCCCCAAAAAAAAAAAATTAATTAGAAAAAGAAAGAATGGACACGTGCATTTAATGCATCAAAAAGTAGTCCTAGCCTCTTTACCTTCAAAGTTGCGAAGAGAAAGTCCATATCAGCCCCCTTTTTCCAAGTTCTGAACGGAGGATTCATAACAATAGTATCAATAATTGGACCTACACAAGAAATCAAGATCACTACTTTGGTAAATGAACGAATACTATACTAAGCTTAGCATCTCCCAAAGAAATATATTAAGCAAATATATCATGTTACGCAAATTGCAACTCAATACCAACAACCCCAAATGCTACACAACAATATTTCTAAGAGAAATATCCAAAAGATAAACTAGTTATCAACACATCTCTTAAAGAATAGTTTGTAATGTCTTCAAGAAAACAAACACTTCTCTCCAAGTCAGTCCAAGTCCAGCAGTTCCCTAGATAAATTCTGTGGTATAACTTCTTTGATGCTTGATTTTGGCATTCTCTATACTATTTGAGTTAAAGAATGAACCACACACACAAACACATAATTACTAATAACAGAAGCATACTGAACTTCTATTGTGAGTGCATGTTAGAGAGAAAGAGCTTTGCTTTTGCCCATCCACTGTATTTTTTCTGTAAATGTACGATGAGCCAATTAACAAAAAAAAAACTGAAAACAGAGTGCCTAATTTGGCTAGAGGCTTGGAAAAGAAAGATAGGGAGCCTAGGGGGATTCTCATTGGGAAAGTTTGTGTTACTAAAAGAGAGATAAAGAGATTTACCTCTCCATCGTAAATTCCTCACATCATTTTGAACAAAGTCCACATCTAACTGCATTTTTTATCAATTAATGAAGCAATACTACGTCAGTTAACTGCCATTAAAAAACAAAATGACCCAATACTACGTCAATCAATACTAGTTCATGAATCTAAGGTCACATTGAGCAACATAGTAGAGTTTTGAATAACCTTTGTATCGAGACCGGTGAAGATAATAGCCCCATATATGTAGTCAGTATTGCGGAGTTTTGAATCTCTAAGGTGAAGTTGCTTAGGAGTAAGGGGATGTCGTTGCTCTTCAAATTCCATACTTTCGACAAAAGAGTACAAATTTGCATTTGGGTCTTCACATTTAACAAGGGCCTTAAAATCCCTAAAATCAAAGTCGTCGTGTAAAAATGAAGTTACCTTTAATTCTTGTTTTAGTTTCAAATTTGTCTCCCCATCAAGGTTCATGGTTTCAACATAACAGATTGCATCCTCATAACTGGATGAAAGCAAGAGAAGATCTGCTGGAAAGAACTCATTCTTCTCCACTTTCACTATATCCCCTACTCTCAGATTCTTCCATTCAATGTGCTCAAAAACTCCATCAGATTGATGTACTTTAACCTTTCTATTGTTTACCTCAATATCCTGAGGGGAAAAAAAATCCAAACAAGGAGCATATGGAGCTGGTGTGATCCTTGCATATATATATATATATATATATATTAATTTTAACATTTCATTAGCAAAATAAGAACTATCTGGTAAATAACTCTTGTGGTAAACAAGAGGCAATGCCCCAATAATCCCACATGACAACATGCAGATTTTGATAAGATGGCATCTTCTAGTGTGGACTCGACTTTCTTCGCGCCCCCTCCCCCCCTTTTGGAGTGGCTCGAATTGGTCCTGCAGTTCAGACTCCTGTCACGGTTCTTAATCTAATCTCACAAAGTGCAATGTGAGACTGATAAACACCAAAGAGTCCAATCCGGCAAATCATTTTGAAAAATCGATTTTAAATCAAATAATGCCAAAACTGGACTGCTTTGCCATATTACAAAGCCGCCACCTAAATATTTTATTTTGAAAAATTTAGGAAACCATGACTCATGCCAAAAGCCACGTGTATGTCATCACCAAAGTTGCATCGGCTCGGGAACTTGGATACGAGAGGAGAAGGTCCTGAAATGAGCACCCCCGCTCACCCGATCAAAGGATCGGCCTCTACTAAGCATGATATGTTATTTTATAAACACATGTGTTCTTATTCCGGTTATGAGCTAACTTACTATGTGCGCACAGCATACAAGTATAGATTAAAATCGCAAAAATTGGAACAAAATAACTCATGTTTGTTTTTCGAAAATGGTTTGGAAGTGTCACCCTCAAGTGGGCTAAAGCGCGGATTTGCCACCCTCAAGTAGGCTTAAAATAACATGATTTGCCACTTCACAAAGTGAGCTTAAAACTCACATTTATCGAATTGTTCCAATTCAAGCAACAAAGCCTTCATCCACAGGCATTCATACAGTTTAGCATTTAAGCAAATAGCCTCATGGCAAGCATGCTAAACATGGCAACACTCACACTCATGCAAGGATGCTAAAGCGTAAAACTTATAGTGTACTCCAAGCCAAAACAAAACAAAAGCTAGTTAGAAATATGCATGATCCTCACTATGCAAGATGCCTAATGCAACACATGCAATATGAAATTACTAGGCTCGGCTACTAATATGGCATTTGATACAATTTGATAACATGCTTTGAAACACGTATTCAAATAAGCATATTTGAAATGACTATGCAGTTTGAATGATGCGCCAAGCCTCGGTGCATGCAAGACAACTAAATGATGCACGCATGTGCGCATAAGGTATGCTAATCTAAACATGATCCCTAAACTAACCATTGAAAGTGATTAAACAAAAGGGAGAAAAACGTGGGGTTAAAAGACATGCACACGCACACGCACACTTATTACAACATTGTGCCCTTGCGAAGGAGGGTCCGAATGAATAAGTTAATTAGCTATGCTAATTAAGCTAATTATTACAAAACAACTAATTAACTATTCTAGCTAATTAATTACAAACCGAATTGAAATTGAATAACTAGCTACAAACTAATTAAGTACAATACTTGAATCAAATAATTAGCTACAACTAACTAATTAAAGCAAGTAAAGTGGCCTCACGGGTGAGGGAGACATGCATGCTCGGTTGGCTTCCTCCCGAAAATCCATCGCCTTGCCGTCGGTTGTCTCTGTTTGCACTTGCCTTGATTTCTGAAAATTGTGCCAATCTCCAGACTACCTTTGCTTCAAAAGAGGAACCCTCTTGCATAGATATGAACTGGTGGTATGTCGACGTCGGCCACCCTAACTGGCCAGTCGGCTAGTTTAGGTGGCCGGTCGGCCACCTGCTTTTCCAAAATGTTGTTTTTGCTGCAACAGAGAACAACAGAGGCAAAGCAAGGCATTTTGCAGGAAATGTATGTACTGCCACTCTCCTCATCATTTCTCAAGCTCAAAGGAGTGTAGCGCTTGGCTCTCAAGCCACCAATCAAGCATCTCAATGCATGATGGCCAAAAGACCAAGCTTGTACAAGCTTCATGAATGCACACATAAGACTAAAATGGCCACCACCCTATCATGCATGATCAAGGGCGACGGCGACCGAGAAATATGACACGTTTCATCACTTTTAGTATGAAACGTCCCACATTTCTTGTGTTCGGATTAACGTCCGATCCAAACACATGCAATGCAACACAAATGCTTATCTTGTTCGTGTTTTAATTGGTTCATTTTGTTTACTCATTTTAGCATTACCAAGTCATTCTTTAGTTGGTTTGTCCAAGATGATTATCCTCTAATGCGAGAAGGATTAACCAAAGGATGGCTTAAAACATGAGAGAGCTCGTGCCTTTGGCTAGGAGGAACCCTCTAAAGAGAGTTAAAGCCATTGAGCACAAGCTCTATCTCAAGCTTAAACACAACCTAAGGTTAACCAACCCCCAAAACAAATAAAAAAGTGAAGAAATTAGGGGGATTGCAGAATTTCAGTGCTGAAATGGCATGAAAAATAATGCTAAAACATGCAAGCAACACATGCACAACATGTTAACGGCCAAAAGCATTGAAACTAGTGAAGAGCACTACACTAGAAGCATGCAATATCAAGCTCAAATGACCAAACCAGCTCAAAACAGAGCTTAAACATGCCAAAATAGTGGCTAAAACATGCTAAAACTTAGGCACAAAAGGCAAGAAAATCATGCGCATAAATTGGCTCGCAAGCAAGGCATAAAGCACAACTCTCAAAAGCAATGAAAGAGTAAAATATGTGAGAGTGTGACAGGTATATGCACTGAAATTACATGTTAAATGATACTATAGCATGCAACCATCTCATGCAAAGCATGTTAGAGGCCTTAAAATACTAAGCTAATGAAGGCATTTGCACTATAGCTATACAATACAAGGCTCATAAGGGACAAACAGTCCAAAACAGTCCCAAAACAACTTAAATGAAGTTCTAAAACATGCTTGAAGTAGGCTAGAAAGATCTAGAATGAGAGGCTAATACATAGCACCAACTAAACTAGCAAGCACAATTGCACTACAAGCATACAAGGCAAGCCCCAAGTGGCTAAACCAGCTCAAAACAGAGCTAAAGTAGGTCAAAAAAGTAGCAAAAACATGCTGAGATCAAGTCACAAAACGGTAGAAAAACATGCTCACATGATAGGCTATCTACTCATGCAAACAAGACACAAGAAGGGGAGGCCAACCCCTCATATTTTGGACCTCAAAACATAGTTTTTGTCACTAAAAAACCTCTGAATTTCATTGGTAAAAAGGTCCAAAAAGTTTGATTTGAAGGTGATGAGAAATGGTACAAAAAGCTTCACAAGCCAAAGAGCAAAAGGGGGGAGACAACCCCCTACCTCAAAATAGGCTTAAACAACCATTTTTAGGACTTAAAAATAGAGGTTTTTACAGTTGAAAACCTGCTCAAAATAGTGTGTAAATATGGCAAAGTAGGTGTTCAAAATAAAGCTTACGAGGCAAGACCTTTACCTCTTGAAGCACAGCACAAATCAGCCACTTTCTTGGCTCAATTGACCCTTCAATAGTCCAAAATTAGTCCCAAGATGCCTCAGCCCAAAGATATGCAACTTTGATCAAGGATGTCTAGGCAAAGGAGAGGTGTATCTCTACTTCCATGCACACTCTCTTCTTGTATGCACAAAAGGGCAAGAGAAAGAGAACTCTAGAGAGAGAGGAATGTAGAGAGAGAGGATTTTTAGAGAGAGAGGCTCCCAAAATTTGCTAACCTTCCAATATGAGAGATATGGCCTTCACATATAGCAATATACAATCCTTGGGTCGAAATATCTGAACACAGGACAGCTGGCACAGTGTAGAACAGCTGCTGGAGAAGAAATATCTGCAAATTCTGAGCTTTCTGGACATTTGTGGCCGACCGGCCACCATTAGTGGCCGACTGGCCACTTTTTGTGGATGACAAGAACCCCTTTTGGATGACATATGGCCAACAAAGGCCATTTGTGGCCGACACATGGCCGACAAACTTCACTAGTGGTTGGAAAGCAAAGTCTAGTTTCTGGCCCCGACTTCAATCAGGCATATCTCCTTTATCTGGACTCCTTTGTAGGTCATTCTTGTGCCTAAATTGAAGCCCCAGAAGTATTCTTTCCAATGGTGGTGGCCTCACATCAAAATCCCAAGTGTGCTAAGAGATATCCCTCTTTTAATGAAGACTGCTCAGTTTCGGTCCAACCGGATTGTTGCCTAACTTCAACCAGCCATATCTCCCTCATCTGGCCTCGGCTTGAGGAGATTCTTGAGTGAAAAATGAAACCCCTAAAGTCTTCTTTCCAACGGTGGTGGCTTCATAGCTGAAATCTAAGTGTACAAATGGATAGGCCTGATTTAGCGAGGGCTGCGCGACTCTCTCTTAACGGTTCATGCCCAACTTCTTCCCCAACTTGATTTCTTCCCTCTCCTCCAATTTTCTTCAACTCCAAACCTCTAACCAAGATGTTTTAAAGATTTTTTCAAAGAGTTCACCTCTCTTTCATTCATTTTCACTTTGTCCATACTCGGTTTACCGAAAAGCGCAACATTTAACGAAATGCGAGCCTCGAAACATCGTAGGAACTTTGTTTCAAAAATATTTTGAAAGAGAGGGTTTTAAGGTCTAAAATTATTTTGGTCGAAATAGTTTTAGTTCAAAAATGGATTGTGAGGTTGGGATTTGAAGCCCTAATTGCTGAAGATATTGAACCTTTGCATAACATAGCTTGCACCATTGAATGATCCAATCAGTGGCGCCCAAATCTTAAGGGCAATCAAAAATGGGGTGTCTACATCTAGTGATTCCAAGTAAAAATGGGAACTCTATTTGCAATGTTATACATATTGCAATCTTCAAAAACATTTTGAGACACAATGAACTATGAGAATAAAATATCAATGAATTCTTATTTTACATTTGAAATAATTACTAGATTCAATCATAAATGCAGATTTATAGACAAGAAAAATTAAATTAAGAACAATTTACAAATGTACCAGAGGGTCAAAATTATACATATCAATGTCGATTTTATATGATTTCTTAGATAGTCACCAACAATTTCAGATATCATGTAGTATAAAAATTGAAATTCAAATGGCAATCTAAGTCTAGAAGCAAAAATTTGGGCTGATATAAAGCAATATAAAGCAAAGCAAACCTGATGCAACATTGCTTGTTTGCTCTTGAGTATGACTAGTCAGGATGACATAGGGATCCATGTTACCTGCTCATTATCATCACATAAACCTCATCAAACAAAAACACAAAAGCCAATTGTCATGAGGTATTGAGATGTAACAGTGATTGTGATCTTTTAAACTGCAAAGAATACAAGACGAGTTTGACTTATGAAGACCAACCTAACCAAATTTGTTCTATTTTTCAAAACAACAATATAAAGCAAACCCAGTTCTCTTCTCTAATTAAACCCACTTCTGTCTCTAACTTTTAAACCCACAAAGCAAACCCACCCACATTAAACTCATTTTTCAATTATAGCCACCATATAAAGCAAACTTATTCTCTCTCTCTCTCTCTCTCTCACTCACTCAAAAAAAAAGAAGCTACAAACCGATACTACCCCCCCCCCCTCCCCCCCCCACAAAAAAAAAAAAAAGCTACAAACCGATACTAAATTCTAGTCAAATAGTAATTTGTAAAAGAAGAAGAAAATGTTCTATTCCCACCACACACAAACAAAAAAAGAAAGAGAAAAAAAGAGTCATAAATGGATATGTAGCACACACACCTCCAATCAATCCATTTAAGTAAAATAAGAAAGAAGGTAGGTAGTATGGGTAAAACAATATATATATATATATATGGAGTATCTTAAACTAATAAATGCTTAAATTAGGAATGATGAATGGAGGTACAGCCAACAAATTCTTCTAATAAATACGTTGGTAAGATTTCCTAGAGATGCCGGTGGTAGGAAATAGGCAGGATAAAACTGTGTACTTAGATCAAAGATGCTACATAATAAATTGACAAATTTAATGGCTTCAATTAATAACAATTCAAATAACTTGGTTCATTCAAACCAAAAGTTTATTAGAGCAACCTTCTTGCACTACCAATGAAGTCTGCATGCATGCGCCACTGTTTTGGATCATCATAAAAAAAAAATTACCAAATCGCCCACCTGAAAAAGATTGCCATGGTTACTGGAAACATTCTCCATACCCGTGTCTTTCCCTTAGCTTAATTGACAATTGCCGGACCAATGAATAAGCGCCCAACAGCACCAACGCCATCCTTTGATACCCATCTGCATAAAGCGTGAAATAACCAATGCTTGAATCCAATTTCAGACTACTTTTGAAGATTAACAGAGTGGCTCCTTTTCCTTCTATATAGACAACATATGTGCATATGACGATTGGAACGAGGAAGATAACTCATCAAGATCTTTTCTTCATATAATTTTAGGGTCAAACCACATGCTTTCTTTTCAATTTCCTTATATAAAGAATAAATTGTAAGGGAACATTCAAAGGGAACACAAAAGAAACTATACAGCCAAGAAAATTTAAAATACCTGATGACAGCAGTAGCAGAAGCAACAGCAGTAGTTCCAGATGAAAATCATAAAATAGTTGGACAGAAATTGCATGCACAGTTCACAAACTCAATATCCAAGTAGTGGAATTAAAATGAGACAAGTCACACTTATATCTTGAAAAACTTATCATTTGTGTTGAATGGGTTGCACTAAATCCTTTAATAAACTTTGAGACAAAACTCACCAGGCCACAAACCATTCTCTATAGTGCGTCCAAGTCTAAGCCAATTTGAGAAAGATCACCACGAACATTAGTAACCTGTTCCACAATTCAGAACTTCTTTTTATGCTATTACTGAATCATTTTTAAATCATAATCAAATTCATTGAATGTACCTAATTCGTAATTAACTTTGATATTTCCACTTGATCATCAAGTTTTCCATCCAAGTTCTCAATTTGTTATGTCAAGTGCCTCTTTGTTGCCTAATCCAAAAAAATAAAAATAAAAATTCCATTACTTACCCAACCCTGATTCAAAGTCTGCAAGTGCAACCTAAAATGATTTAACTTCCAGTATTTCAACCTACAAACAAACATATCAAAATTAGGAAAGTAAGCCATTTCTAGACATCAAATTTTATGCTCAAGACAATCAAAATTAGGAGAGTAACCCATTTCATTTCTAATTTTTTGAGCTAAATGCTTGATAATCTACCAAATTCACAAAATTTACTAATTCAAAAAGAAAAAAACACTACCTTCAAACTCACTTTCCCCAATAAAAAGACCCCATTTAAACAATATTGTCTCATTCACACACAAATTCAACAACAGAACCACCCAAAATCAACAAAAATATTTAAAACCCATGAACCATTTATGGCAGATCTGTGCATTTAGACAATGTCGATACCAAAAAAAATCAAAATCCACCTTCAACCTGAGAATCTAAATCTAGATCCTTCTGATCTCCGTAGCAAATTAGAAAATAGAGTAGCAAATTAGAACAAATCCATCAAACTTTTCAGTGTTTTAATCAGAAAAAAAGATAAAACACTAACCAAAGCAAACAAAATTAGGATTTTTTTTCCCCCTTGACAATTAGCACGTGGGTGCTCTGTTTTGTTGGTAACAAGCCCATCTCATATTTGCAATGCCACACTGTTGCCTGGGGGCTGATGTTGTACAGTTGAATATAGAAACTTTTCAATGTTTTAATCAGAAAAAAATCAAAAAAATACAAAACACAACAGATTTGTTCTTTTGAAGAAGCTTTCTATCAAAAGCACCTTCATATTTCTAGTATTATTTTCTATCATTCTTTCTTATGAACTAAATAGAAAATCATATACATATATAGAAGAGTAAGAGCATATATGTATATGTTACCAAGTGAAGTTCCATCGAAGCCATAGAGCTCGTTCATTATCGTCGACTTCCTTACCCCAGGCAGTTTGATCACCCCAATCACCGTGAAATCAGTATTATCTGTCAGAAACTATAATCAATCTCAAATTTCTCAGATTTTTATATAAATATAAAACCCTAGAATTGGAAAGAGAACTATTAGTCTTTGAAGTAACCTAGCCAGTCTCTATACATTCAGATGAGTTGAGAGAGAGAGAGAGAGAGAGATTACGGGAAGGATGCGATCGGTGTGGAAGTCCCAGGAATCAAAAATTAGATTGAGAGAAGAGACGAAGGGGGGACAAAAGCGGATGGAGACGGAATAGTCGTCGGCGAAGGCTCCGTAGAACACAAGAATTGGTGGCCGCTCTTCTCCAACGTTGCTACGATCTCCGCAAGTCGAGGTGGATCGAAGCACCCTACGCTTCTGAAGCAGACGAACACCACCGTCTCACCCTACTCTTCCCCAATCAGGCATCGTCGACGAGGTTAGGGTAGTGGGACACAGTGATGAGGCTTTGGAGAGTGGTAGAGGAGCTCAGGGTTAGGGTTTTGATGAAGGCTCAGGTTGAGATGAAAATCTGTGAGACTGAGACAATGATCTATGAAGCTAAGACGGTTTGGGGAGAGAGAGAGAGAGAGAGAGTGACATATATAGTGTTTAGAAAGAGCGTTATGCCCAATTCTAAGAGTATTTCATTTTAGCATTTGGCGCTAAAGTATTTTATTTTGGCACCTATTTTTATTTTGGTCATACTATTTACGACAGAAATTGCGTGTCATGAAAAGTAAAATATTTTTAACGGCTAGCATATGTGCGTTATGGAAAGTCTACTTTTTAACGGCTGATTTTTTGTGCGCCATAAAAAATGTAATATTTTTAACAGCTGACTTTTTGTGCGCCGTGAAATGTTTAATAGTTTTAACGGTTGGTGTACACATGTCATGTATAGTTGATGTATTAACGGCATGTCATATGCACGTCATAGAAAGTTTTATTATTTACGGCTAACATCGCAAGCCGTAAAAAAATCATCATTATTAGTATTTACGGTCTACTCAATAGACACGCCGTAGTTGACAAATTATTTACGACATGCAAAAAAAGAAAGTCATAAAAGTGAGAAACCATGACTTGCATTTACTGTATGTCGTTAATGTGAATCCGTAAAAACTCAGTTTTGTTGTAGTGAATGAGACCAAGAATTGTGTCATTTACAATACATTTTTCCTTTAAGTTCTTTTGGGGAAGGAATTTTAACTTCCTTTGGTAACTTTAGAAAGTTTGCTGCAAGCAAATAATGAAAAATGTCATCTACCTTTATTAAATCAAAAGAGTATTTCCTATCAAGGTCTTTCTTTTTAAACTGCTGGTCTATTGTAATATCCTTATGAATTAATGCCTCGCGGGTCATAGGCTCTTTTCCTACGATCTCCACTACATCAATCTCGTAATTAGGGTCTCTATAATAAGTCTTGCATCATGCATTACTTCGATCTTGTTCTTCCTCAAGTAATGATTCATATCTAGACACCTTATAGGTTAATTCCACTAAGTCTCGAAACTCAGTTGAGTCGAACTTCTTTCGAAACCTAAACTCTAAACCATTCTGAGCCAATCTCACAAATTCAGGCTCTGGTAAAATGACCCTACACTTGTTTCGTGCCCTTTTGAATCTAGCAATAAATTGAACATCCTTCTCATCAGGCCTTTGACTCAACCTTGCCAAGTCTGTCATGGAAACTTCTGGCTCTATTTGGAAGAATTGGACATAAAATGCCTCCTTCATTTGCTGCCAAGTTTGGATAGTGCCAGGTGTAAGGTTAATATACCATGCAAAAGCTGCCCCAGTTAAAGAATTTGGAAAGAGTCTTAACTTCATATGGTAAATTCCCCACATTGGGCTACGAACCTAGCAATGTGTTCTACTGTTGACTGGTTTCCATTTCTATAAAAGGGAGCAAAATCTGGTATTCTAAACCCCTTTGGGTATTTATGCACCCTATCCACCCATTCTGGGTATGGCTTTCTATACACAGGAGTTTGAACCCCCGAGCCATAGGTCCACACATTTCTCTAACAATATCAGCAATTTGGTCCCTAAGAACCATATTTTGTGCTTGTTGGACTACCACTAGAGGAACAAACACAAGATTTGGTGGAAATCCTTGTGCTTGAGGTCCTTTTGGTCCATAGAGAGATATATTTGGGACTGGTTATCCCTATGGTGCTGGCTACTGTTAAGGGTATGGTTGACCTCTCCGAGCTTGTCCTGCGAAAGGTGCTTCAATAGGAGGAATAGGTATTGTTTCTCTCCCAGCCGCATGAAATCCTTCCAATCCCCCAGGTATGAATTCGAACAGGGGATTAGTGAACCCCCTTGTGCCAGGTATGGCTTCGAACATGGGATTTGGAAACACTCTCATGCCATTTTCTTGTGTTGGCCCAAATCCACCAATTTGTATGGCTTCGCTGTTAGGTAATAAGGCATTTTGATTTACCACAGGTCTCAAAAGAGGCTCATACCATGATTGAGGTATAGGTGATGGTCTTTTACTAGTCTAACCATTAGTATGTCCATTACTTTGCATAGGCTGTTTATCTATAGCCAATCTTTGCTGAGGGACATTCGAATTTTCCTCCATATGCCTTGTGTTAGTTCGTTGATAGGAATTCATTCGATCCATAAAGGATATTGCCCATCTTTCCATTGTGTTCATTAACTGATGTCCCATGGCATCCACCAAGCCTCCCCATGGATTCATTGGCTGAGTAGATGGAACAGTGAATGGTCCAATTCCCTAGCCTCGTCCAATATTTTGAACATGTGGTGCATGTTCTAAATTGCTGGTCTGTTCGACCATAGGTTCTGATAAGATAGGTGCTTCCATAGGATGTGTTATCACATCTTCCATTGGATCAGGTACTTCTACCTCTCCTTCCACACCTTCTTCCAGGAGTTCATTTTCTCATTGTCTCCTACGTCTAGCCATTTCAATTAATCCCACTGGGCGTGCCAAAAATATATGTTGGCTTTTTGGCCTTTGAAGGTTAATAATATAATTTTAAGCATACTAGCAAGGATCAATCAGTCCTTATAGAATATTAATTGACAACCAATTATCAGACAATTGTATTTTAGTTCTCTCATCCTCAATGAAGAGGACTTTTACTTGTGGCTTGTTTAGGAGAATTCAGTAAATAACAACAAGTAAAGAATAATTTCAGAATTTGAATTTCATTAAGTAAAATGAAAAACTTATAATGATCTGACCCAGCCTCGTAAAGGTTTACAGCAGCAAACTATTTGAAACTACTCCTAGGAATAAAGTGTTGTACGGGAATTAAAGTGCAGAAATGTAAAGAATAGTAAAAACTGGAAGGAAAAACGAAGTAAATAAACTAGTTTTTTTATCTGAGTTTGGATCCTTCATTCTGAGGCCTTCTTTGCTATTTATACTTTCCAATGATAACTGCCGAAATGTCCTCCCATGATTGCTGAACATGCTCTCTTACAGTTAGTCCCAGTCAGTCCCACTAAGCCACTCTTGCAGTTAGGCTTCCCACCTAATTTTGAATTTAAACTTTGTAAGTAACCGTTAGGCCACATCATCTTGTATTTTTCTGTTGATCTAGTACTACGCAGATCCATGATTACCAATGCTAACTGTCACGTGTCTAATTTCGATTGAAGACTTGAATTAACTCTCCATGTTGCCCTCATCTTGCCACGTGTTAAGTTGTAATTGGCCTATAAAAAATATACAGCTAACAAACACTGATTAAGTGTTACTCTTTTCATTACAAATTGTTGGTTTATTTTCAACATTCATGCCCTTTAATCAAGTCAATAAATAGTCTATTTTTGTAAAAACAAATTCAATTTTCTTTTTTTACAAATTAAAAAATCTCAATTAATTTTGTGAATAAAATCTTCAAAATAGTTGAAAAAATAATAAATTAAAAAATAGAAACGATTTTTTAGAATGCCTAAAATTGTGAAAATGACCAACAATTTGACATTTGTCAAATCCATCCACCAACCTCTCAGTTCTTGTTGGGGTGGTCATTCACCGGGTTGGACCGGGGTCAGGTCAGGCCAATTCTACTTAATAAGGAACTTTGTATTTGTTCAAGCTCATCTGATCTAAACATCAGACCTATATAATCATCCTAAACTCAGCTCTAATATAAATTATAATTCTCAAACTTGTCCATCAGACCATATACATAAGCTATTAAAAAAAAAAAAAACTACACATTATTGTACCTATTATTTTTTCATAAATAAACAAATGTCTATTGAGCAACTAACAGTTAAATATTCAATACCATATTAATTAAAACATTATAAAGTTTTTTAAACCAAACACACCCATAATTCTATAAACTCAAAATTTTTAAAACCAAACTATAAGTAGTATGTCAAACTATTAAAAAAAAAATCCCTGATTTAAATTTCAAATTTCTTCCTCTGTTTCATTATCATCTTTTGAAGAGTTAGAATCACCATTAACCGTTTTTTCAGATGATACTAAGTTTCCTATATTATCAACAAATAAATTATTAACATGAAATAAAAAACAAATTAAAAAATTATACAATTAAAAGAGTATATATATTTTAAATATATTATATAAATTAATTAATTTATTAAATTAAATATATAGCCGGGCGGGATGGGCCTGACTGGGTCAGTGCAATTCCCAAACCCAACCCATTTATTAATTGGGCTGAAAATATCAATCCAGCCTGGTCCTATAGGCTAAAATTATATTCTCAAATCCTAAAAAAATAAGACTAAACTGGGCGGTATCCAAATATTACTATAAAGTATATATTTTATTTTGCCTATCAACTATTTTATGTTTTTACTCCAACCATGCTCTTTATTTTAGCTATTCATCCAAATACTATTAATTTCATATGCCTAGTGCATATGATTAGGCATTTTGGCTCAACTCATATTCACTAGCTACATGTAGCTAGCCTTCAACGCTAGGCAAAATGTATTCAATCATTAGGATCAATTCCCTCCATCTTTGTTGTTGACGTGGCATTCTATAAAATTAATAGTATTTGGATAAATAGCTAAAATAAAGAGCATGGTTGGAGTAAAAACATAAAACAGTTGATAGGCAAAATAAAATATATACTTTATAGTAATATTTAGATAGGTAAAATGCCTACTACCGTTGGAGATGCTCTTATAAACTAAAATTATATACTCAATAAAAGAAAGCAGAGACGTGCTCAAAAAAAAAAAAAGGCAGAGACCAAATCCCCCAAGGTCTAGAGCGGCACTCCAACGGCGAAAACCAACAAGGCGGACCACCGTCGTTGGATCTGATCATATCCTTGGACTGTTCAAAGTAATCCTTCAAAGTGAATCCTTCTCAGGTATAGCTTGGAGTTATTGGGTACACTCGGGTTTTGAGTATGTTCCAGGTATTGTTGGTGTTCCCACTGTTCTTCAATCTCTAGGGCTTTGTTTCTCTTAAAACCAAAGACGGATTCTAGGTTACAGAGTGCTAAGCCTAGTTGTTGCTAAAAGTGGCCAAGCTGACTTACAAGATGAGAGTTTCCTGTGCAACCAGAGGTCTTGCCCTCCACCTGTTCGACAATATGCCTCAATGAACTCTGCTACTGGAAA